AGTATTCAAGCAAGAATATATCCATTCCTTCATGTATACATATGAGTATTATGTATGTGATGTATATGATGTATATTTATATATAAGTATATACATACTTATATATAAATATAAATACATATAACAATGAGTGTGTTCACACAACACACATAAACAAATGTACATGTGTATAGATTCATGCATATAAATATAAATGCATTTATTTATATTTAATTATATTGTTATAATTTTTAAAAGAGAAATAGAGATTTTGTGAAGCATTATTTGGTCTGAGATACTTATCTTGGTCCTCATAATATTTGTTTAGTACCCTTTTCCTATACTCCATAAGCGTATTCATCACTTTTTGGATTCTACCGAATTGAAAAGTATTTATATACTAGAGGCCCTGTGCACAAAATTCGTGCACTGGGGAGGGGATGGTCCTAAACCCAGCCTACACCATCTCCAATCTGGGACCCCTTGGGGGATGTCCGACTGCCGGATTAGGCCTGATCTCAGGGATCGGGCCTAAACCGGCAGTCGGACATCCCCCTCACAATCTGGGGCTGCTGGCTCCCAACTACTCACCTGCCTGCCTGCCTAATTGCCCCTAACCACTTCTGCCTGCCAGCCTGATCACTCCCTAACCACTCCCCTGTCAGCCCGATCGACGCCTAACTGCTCCCCTGCCAGCCCAATCACCCCAGCTGCCCTCCCCTGCCGGCCCAGTCACTCCCAACTGTCCGCCCCTGCCAGCCTGGTTGCCCCCAACTGCCCTCCCTTGCTGGCCTGGTCACCCCTAACTGCCCTCCCCTGCTGGCCTGATCGCCCACAACTGCCCTGCCCTGACAGCCATCTTGTGGCTGTGGGCACCGTCATCTTTGAGGGCATGGCAGTCAATTAGCATATTCCCTCCTTATTGGCTGTGGGCGCCACCATCTTTGTGATGGCATAAGGGTCAATTAGCATATTCCCTCTTTATTAGATAGGACTAGAGGCGCAGTGCACTAATTTGTGCATGGGTGGGATCTCATGGCCTGGCTGGCGATTGGGGCCTTTTGGGGCTGAACAGGACCAGCTTGGACTGGCTGGTCGGGGGAAGGGACCACGGGAGATTGGCTGGCTGCGGGGAAGGAACCAAGGGAGGTTGGCTGTGGGAGCACACTGACTACCAGGGGGCAGCTCCTGCATTGAGCATCTGCCCCCTGGTGGTCAGTGTGTCGTCATAGTGACCACATAGGCTTTTATATTTATAGATGTTTGTATGCATATGTGTGTGTGAGTATGTGTGCATCTCCTAAAATATCTTTTGGTTACATAATACATTTTAAGTATAATAATTGCTTTTATTTGGAATGTTATTAGAATAGATCCAAAATATCTTTCCAATTAAGATTTCATGATAAAAAAAGTTAATAAAATAGATGATATTGTGCATTTAACATGTATTCTTTTAAATTTATGCTTTACTGTCATATGTATATATGTTGGAGCCATACATTTTAGGTATAATTGTAATATACTTAAAACACCAGTGAAATGCTAGAAAAAACTAGCATCACTGACATTATGGAAACAGGGGTTTAATCTTTGGTGGATAATTACTTGCCTAAGAAATACTTGCATATTTAAGCTGAAGGCTTAAGCTGAAGGCTTTTCTTAAGCTGAAGGCTTACTCTCCTCATGTGTCCTTTTGTTTTTTTAGGCTGCTTCCATTTGTCTTTTTCATCTTTTATATTAGAGTAACTGTTACCCAAAGGTAACTACTCTCAAATCAGCTATGATGGGGCATTTAAGTTATTGATTGCATTTATCTACCATCATTCAAAATTAATCAAGTAAATCTAAATCCCTACTTCCCTCATTTCACTTTAATTTCCTCTTAACATTATCGTCTTCTTTTACACTTAATGCCAGTGAAAGTTCATGTAATGGTATTCCCCATTTCCCTTTTGTACTTTTATATTTACTCCTTTCTGAGAACACTGATTTTCATTATTACTAATTAGTTATATTTCCCACCCCAAAGGAACATGGTTCTGTATATTCGGTGATATCTACTATTACTTTCAGCACTGCTCCACTTGAAGTAAAACCTAGTAATAATCAGACAGTACTTTTAAAAAATGAATGAATTTTGTGAAAGCTGGGAACTGGGTGGGGGAGATAAGGAGTATATTTTATGACTAAGGATTTGGAGTTTTAACAAAAAAAAATTGTTTAAAACCTAAAGAATAAAATGCAATCTTACCTGTTGCTAAAGTGCTGATCATGATCATAATTAACCATTTGAAACTCTCAGAAATGGGGAGAATGCATATAATTTTACCTCACAGAACATTTTTTCTCCATCATCTAATCAGAACACTTGAGATTCACATGTTTCTTCCTTATGACTTAATATTGACTTTAAAAAACCTCAGCAAGGAAGGCCTGGCAGAAATGTCTCTGGGACCACTAATGTAGGGCCTAGGGCCAGAATGAGGGAGGACAGTTTCCATGAGAGTATTTCTCAAGGTGGGTTTCACATAGTGCTAGTTTCACAAGAGGCCCAGCACAAAAGGTATAATGCCATCTAAGATTTGAACAGAGCTGAAAAGGAGTCAAGTAGTAAAGAAATCTCTTTACATTCTTAACCAACCCTGGAACTTCCACTCATCTATATTTTCCTTTATTTTTAAAATACCTATTAACATTTTATGGGCCGGTGTGTCTCAGTTGGTTGAGTGTCATCCCATACACTGTAAGGTCATGAGTTTAGCGTAATTCCCTGCCAGGGCACATACGCAGGTTTCAGGTTTGATTCCTAGTCTGGGTGCCTTTGATGATAGACCTCTCTCTCTCTCTCTCTCTCTCTCTCTCTCTCTCAAATTAATAAAAACATATCCTTGGGCGAGGGCTAAAATTTTATTAAAAAATTCCATAGACTGTTTTGAGAAATGCTAGAATATGATAATTGATGGTTGGGGTATAAATAAAGCTAATGCAGATTGTATTGTTTGTAAGTGTTTTTGAAACACTTGTTTGCTCATTGCCTCTTTCCTCTTAGCTTACAAACATTCATCAAAAAAGATATGTTACTAGAGATCTAGGCCAGATTAAACAGAAGATACTAATAAATTTATGAAGGAAAAGCTATTTCTGTTTTAACTATTCTGAAAATTGAATTCTTAGCATAATGTTTCAATGCCTGCTTGCAAAAGGAATAAGTAAATAAATAAACAAACAAACAAAACCCCAAAGCTAGTTGGTCAGGAACATTATTCACAAATGTCTAGAAGAACACTAAATGTTGTCAAGCAAAATGTCTATGACCTAGAGCTTGTATTCATTGTCAAAGCATTTTACAGGAAAGGATGCTAGGGTGCTATGATCTAGGGAAGTTAGAGTGACTTACAAATTCCCTGTCCTTGACATTGGCCTGGATCATCCCATGGTCATTGTATTTGACATTGGCCTGGATCATCCCATGGTCATTGTATTTGAATCACAGACATACATTTCTTGGATAGTTACTAAGACTTCCGAATATATATGTGTATATATATATATATATATATATATTTCTTATAACTTGACTACTGCAAAGAGAAAATGTGTTGACTAAATGATGCAAAAGCAGGTCAAATTTGTAATTCTCTATAAATTAAACACACAACCATGCAAATTTCTTGCCTCTGTCTCTGGGTTTCTTGACAGTTTATTAACACTCTTGTGCACCTTCTCTGGGCCTGAGAAAATTCCTTCTGAGGTTGAAGACCAAAACCAAGAGCACCAAATTCATCAAGGTGAAAGAGTTCTTGAAACCTTTTGGAGATAGTATAGTGTCTTCCCCTTCAAGCTAGCATTTCTACTCGTCTTTTCTTATGAAATCTTACAAATTGGCTTTCTGTTATTACAGTCTCTACTCACATCTCTACCATGAAGTGAAATTTAGCATGAACTTTACAAAGCTCTTCTTTGGAAGAGATAAATTCTATTTTCACAAATTGAGGACATTAATTATTATTTGTTGTTTAAAAGCTCTCTTACAACATTGATGCATGCTTTTTCTAGCTAAGGTAGAATAATCAAGAGAGATAGTGTATTCTTATTTTAATAAAGCTTCTGATAATTTTTCACTTTTTCCATTTGTGTTTCTATAACATACTTAAATTCTATAAAACGATGATTAATTTTAAATTTCTCTACCATTTATCATATTGGTAATTAATATATTGTCTTTAACCATATATATGTATTACCATTGTATTTTATTAATGCAACATTATTTGTGGTTATTCTAATACTATTTTCTTTTCATATTGTTAATCTAAATTAAATAAAGCTGTATTGCCCTTTTACCATGTGTTTTTAAGATACTTTAAATAAATGCTTCAAATTTAGTTTTCTTTTTTATTTATACTATTACTATGATTACTATTTTAAAGAACACATAAATTATTTTAGAGACAATGGTCATATAATTGTACTTAAAAGTAAAAAATAATGAAATATTTATGAAATACAAAATAGGAAATGTTTTCTACCCAGTCCCTATGATAACTTTTCAACATAAATATCATTTTTTTATAAAAGCTATTGCTAGCTATTCTAGAGCTAATATCCACTTTTGTCCAATTCTCACACTTAGTTTAAATATATATATATATATATATATATATATATATATATATATATTTAAATTATTAAGTAATTTTGTAGATAAGAAGTTTTTGTTCTTTCTACATCTCTGTGGCCTCCCCAGCTCTACATGAAGGTCTTTTGGGGTGAGGAAGGTCAGATCTGAAAATTAGTAGTAAATAGAATGAAAACTTTAATTTCAAATGCTTTTTACATTCTTCATTGATGTCCTTTAGTCACTACTTTATATCAATGCCAATTTTTAGTTATCATTGCCCAACCCATAGCAAATGAGAAAAGAAGATTATGCTTTTGGGCACAAAATATTAATACAAAGTTCTAAAAGTGATAGTATTGTCTGTTCATAATTTGTCTATAAGCAAGTTTGTTTTACATAAATGGCTTTTTAACAAATTTGAAATGTGAATATATTTTATTTTTCCCAGTGAGTACACAATACACAATTCTTTGACAATACTATTAATCAATGTTACGCCAATTTCTTTTCTGATCTAACAACATCAAATGAAACATTAAGATCTTGAATGCTGTTTGGTGACATAAACAAAGTACATTTAGAAAAGAATCCATCTATAAAACAAAATATAAAAAGTCTACCCACGGCCACAAAATCCCTTATCTTGCAACACTTTAAAGTCACAATAAATGCTTTTAAAAATTATGAGATAAGAAAACTTAGTAAATGGAATTTCATTTAAAATGTATGGTGTTTCATTTGAAGTACACATTAAAGAGAAGTAAAATAAAAGTAATTTCACCTCTAAGGTAATGTGGAAAGACATGTTGCATTACACCAATCCTTGTCATGTAATTCTATAAATACAGTATACAGAAGCAGATGAACAAATTAGTGAATGTCATGGTTTGCATTTTTTAATACTGACACACAATCACTTTCTAGTGGAGAAAATAAACCAGTTTAGAGTTCGTTGGTATTGTTATCATTATGTTGTCAGTGGACAATTACACAAATTAGTTCCATAGAAATTTGGAGGTGTTCTATCAAGCTGTTACAAATTTCCAACTCAAACCCCATTGAAAATGTATCTAAACACCCAGAGCATCAAACCGTGGCAGAGAAAACCACTTCATCTGCTTTGTTACCTACAGCAAGTAAACTTGTGATGTTCTTTCTTCCTCTGGTTGCATACACGTTGATCTTGATTTTCCTATATTCTCTCTTGAGCTGGATTTTAATCGTGTGAAGGAATCAATTGTTTCCATGTCCCTGTACTCTCCCACCTTACATTAAATATGGCATGGGAAATTTTTGGAGACGGGGTTGTTTGGTCTGCCTGCATACACTGAGGAATACCTGAGCTGGGCACTGATTCTACTATGTCCCCAATGGAGACTTTGCCTGTTATGAATGGAGCCGTGCTGTGGGGTACGACTGCATACCAGTGTTGTTTTTGTGCAGGTAAGATTACATCCTCTCCCACCCAGAGTTCCTTCTAACTAACAGCGTATGTGGGCCTGTCTCTGTTTAGATCTGCAGAAGAGTGAGCTCAGTGAATTTCTAACCAGTCATTCAATTGGCTACAAAATGAAAATTCATGATACTTCTCATACTTGCATTTTTAATGATATTTTGACCTATAAGAATTAAAAGCTTTTTACCTATGGCAAGCTGACAAAGCCTTGATGTTTTGGCAGTGCTCCTGAACTCATGTGGATAGCCACAGCTATTTATTGTGCTCTGTATCTACTTGAGGATGGTATTTTATGTGCAATATTTGACCAACCAATTTATTTAAAAATAGATTTAATAGGCAAGGTGGACTATTCTAAAAGAATATTCCAAGACACCATAAGGTCCACCCTGACATAATATAACCATTACAGTGAATTTTATGTACTGGAGACAATTAGGTATGATGCATGCTCAATCTTATTCCAGAAGTCACCTGTGTGCATATACTCTGTTTTTGAAGTCATGGTTTATTAGTCACATACACCTGCCAGTTACCAGGGGCAAAAGGCTATGTGTAATGAACTAAGGTTTTAGATTACACTGGGTTGTAGAGGAATGTAAAAGGAAATACAAATGAACAAAACTTTGCTTTTAAATAGAAAGAGATGAAGTAAGGAACTGCATAACTAAAAATTTAAATTCCTCACATTCTACAGTTGTGACTAAGTATGCACTCATTCTGAAAAGAAATTTCTCATCCTCCCCAGTCTCTTTGTCCCAAAGAAGTCAAACTGCGTTAAAATTCAGACACTTATGGGAGAAAGTTGATGACGTATTTAATATGTGTGTCTCAGAATTTTCTCCTCCATGAAGAAATGAAGTGCATGACAGGAGTTGGGGCCCATAAAGAACACTGAGTTCCTGTATGCGTGCCTGTGTCGATGCAGCCTCAGGTGACAAAAAAGATGGAGACATTTAATTTTGCCATTACTGTAATAATGTGACATACATTTGATAACTGAGCCAAAAATGCTCAGTTACCAATGATTTGTCATTCCAATGGATCCTGTATTTTAGAATTAATCCCTACTTATCATTATATTGAATATACTTTAAAGTATCAACTACTGAACACATCATAGGAAAAACATGAGAAAGTATAACTAGAGAGAGAATTTACAGTTGTGTAGGCAGCACACGGGAAAATGTCACAAGTGGAAAGTTCTCTTCTACTTGACTGACTATACTTGTACAGTAGCTAACATATATTTCAAAGTCATATTCATTTTGACCACACATGACTGATATTTAGGAAATGCTTGTTCTCAATGTCGTGAAAACAAATGAGGCAGGACACTGTTATTAATGTCCATTTACCAGGTTCGGTTTTATTTAAAAAGTGTATAAACATGCATTTTTCTCCTTTTCAATTTTTCTTTTCAATTTACTCATTCAAATGGGTCAAACATATTTTAGTTGGTAGCCCATTTCTGAAAGTGTACCATAAAATATTTATTCCAATAAGTCTACTTACTGTGAACTGAACATACTCTGAGCACTGCTTTTTAAGCACTTACAAGTTGGCTGTACATTTGGTGGCATAAACTTCACTTTTTCATTAAATGAAACACAAAGTTGCATATAGACTGCATTATTATTTTAAAAGTCATGAATTGAAGTGATGCAGCTCTATCCTCTAGTGTGTACTGTACATGTATTAGAAAGATGAAACAAGATATTGCAATAGAGTTTTTGTATTTCGAAGCAGCCCGAGTATGTCCTAACAATAAATTGCCTCTTTAACTATTTGCTGGATATTCTAGAGTTCATTTGGTTTGTTTCCTTGGGGAACATCATATTATATTCTGACTTAATGCGTTGGAGAGATTATGTTAATTCAGAAAATGCTTTTTTTAAAAAAAACTGTAATATAAATACAGCTCTTGTGAAACACCTTAATTTCCTTTTGCTTGTTGCAATTCTCAGATGGGTCAATTACAACAAGAGGTAAAGCTGATTCTAAATATAGCTTTAATTTTCTCATTATGTCTTAAAGCAAGTTTAGTATATCTTCGCTACTTGTATAGTTTAAAGCCTACTCAGTCTTAAGTCTTAAACTTCCTTCATTTGACCCACACTTTTATCAACAGTAAAAGCCACCATTCTGCTTTATTTTTTATTTTTTACTGACTTGGTCCCTGATGTTCAAAGAAGACTTCACTAACACCACTGTCCTTCACATCTTCCTATTTCTATACCCCAACCAAAAACCATCCAACGTGATTGGTTACAATCAGCGTTATCCAACCTAGCTTACAGTACAGCAACTCCCTTCACATTCAGTCTTTTTCTTCATGTCACGAGGAGTAGAGATTTGTGCTTATCACCAAATAAAATTGCAGTGCAAAATTTAAACATAAAAGTTACACAATTAAAAGTTAATATATGGCACCACAGCCTATTAATTCACATATAGTACAACAGACCAATAAGAACAGACAATAATGTGAACAGAGCTAAAAAGAGTGAGCTTGCATAGCAATGCACAAAAGAAATTATATACAGAGGAAAGCCTTTGCTTCCTGGAGGGCGAGCTTTGTTTTCTTTCTTTTTTGTTTACTCCTGACAAGAAAGAGTTAAGGTGGGTGGTGTACGTAACAGAAGAACACAAGGAAAATATCTGTGGGATATGTGTGGCTGTGTGTCTTTACATTGCATTTACAGTTCTTTTAATAGTACATAAATAAAGAAATTGTTCATTGCACTGTTTAAGTGTCATCACTTCCATGAGTTCAGACCTGATGGTCCTTCAGAGCAGCTTTGCATGTCTCATCTCAGTTACTCTATAAAGAGAAAAACAAATCAGAAGTAAGTTTGCATTTAAGCGCAGTATCCTTTATCCAGCATACCAAAAACCAGGGGGACAGATAATAAGTGAAAGTAACATCATCAAATAGCGTCCGTGATTTTGTGAATTTAAGAAGTTTTACTGAAATGAGGTGGCAAGGGGGGAAAAAAGAAACCCTGTGGAATTTGGATATTTAAAATTCAACTGGAGCTATTTTGCACCTTTGTGAATCCATAATTATTCCAAAATAAAAGTTAAAGAAAAATCCAAGTACTCATGAATCAAAATAAAAATTATAAACATAGCTTAGTAATAATCAGGTTAGCAATATGAAGCAATAACTCATATCAATAAATAATTTAAAGTTTTGAAAGTATTTTTAGTTTTCATTATTTCATGTCATCCCCAGTCTGCCAGGTGAGCATAATAGCAAGTAAATTTTTAGATAAGAAAAAAAGATTAGGAAGGCAGTTTAGTTTCTCTTTTCACATAACCAGTAAGCAGTTGAGATTGGAACCCAGGGCTGCTCCTTAGCAGTGTTTTTAAATTGTTTCACTGAAAGAAGCAGTTGAACATATTCAGCAACTATTATTCTGAAATAGAATAGCAAAATTGGTAACTTTCCTGATGAAATTAACAAGAGTTCAATGCTTAGTAACATTCTAAATTTCTCTATTTCCTAGGACTTTATATTTAGAAAACAGATTAGTTGTAATAGGCACCAATGTTGGTTCCCTATTCAAAAAGAGAAATTTATTTCTAAGTTATGTTGTAATAGTCAAAGTATTTCAAGTTAACTAAAATCAAAGATCAACATTTCAAGGTTGAGTCACCAAATTAAAAAAAAAAAAAAAAGATTCCTAAGGAAGTTTTTTAAAACTACCAAAAAGCTAATACTCAGTTATAAAGGCAAAGAAAGCTACAGAGTCGCCTCTCCTCTTACCCCGGCTGGGCACCGTGCTGGTCGGATCAAAAAAGTAAACATTGTGGAGGGACACTGACATGTTTGGAGAGAAATGGGAACACATACAATGAAAGAGTAACATTGAAAGGCTTTTATGGGGAGAACCAAGATGGCGGCATAGGTTAACGCCGGAGTTTGCTGCTTTGAACAACTACTTCAAAAGTGAAACCAAAAAACGGAAGGGACATCACCCAGAACCACAGGAACGCTGGCTGAGTGGAAGTCCTACAACTAGGAGGAAAGAGAAACGCATACGGACACTCAGAGGAGGCGCAGTGCTGAAGTCAGATTCTGAGGTGCAGAGTGCGCGGAGTGGGCTGGCGGCGGAGGGCGTGGTTGGCGTTTTCAATCGGGAGGGAGTCGCAGACTCTGAGCTCCAGATCCGGGCCAGTCTTTAGGGACCCAGACTCAAACGGGAGAAGCGGGACTGTCTGGCTTCGGTCAGAGCAAGTGCAGCTTTCTCTCCAAGCTTTGCAGCGGGTGCTGGGACTCAGAGAGGCAGAGCCCCTGGGGACAGGACTGAGAGCCGCCATAACTGCTCTCTCCGGCCCACCCTGTTGATCCTGTGCGACCCGCCCCGCCCAAGCCCTGCACACAGGCATTTGCCGGATAGCCTCAGGCAAAGGCCAGATTAGCACCTCCCTAGAGGACAGAAGTTCTCTCACTGCTGACACAGCTGATTCTCATAGCCACTTGGCCTGGAGGTCAAACCCTCCCTGGAATTAGCTACAGCAATCAAGGTTTAACTATAAGACTGTGAACAAAGACCACTAGGGGGTGCACCAAGGAAGCATAACAAAATGCGGAGACAAAGAAACAGGACAAAATTGTCAATGGAAGATATAGAGTTCAGAACCACACTTTTAAGGTCTCTCAAGAACTGTTTAGAAGCCGCCGATAAACTTAATGAGATCTACAAGAAAACTAATAAGACCCTCGATCTTATATTGGGGAACCAACTAGAAATTAAGCATACACGGACTGAAATAACGAATATTATACAGACTCCCGACAGCAGACCAGAGGAGCGCAAGAATCAAGTCAATGATTTGAAATGCGAGGAAGCAAAAAACACCCAACCGGAAAAGCAAAATGAAAAAAGAACCCAAAAATGCGAGGATAGTGTAAGGAGCCTCTGGGACAGCTTCAAGCGTACCAACATCAGAATTATAGGGGTGCCAGAAGATGAGAGAGAGCAAGATATTGAAAACCTATTTGAAGAAATAATGACAGAAAACTTCCCCCACCTGGTGAAAGAAATGGACTTACAGGTCCAAGAAGCGCGGAGAACCCCAAACAAAAGGAATCCAAAGATGACCACACCAAGACACATCATAATTAAAATGCCAAGAGCAAAAGATAAAGAGAGAATCTTAAAAACAGCAAGAGAAAGAAACTCAGTCACCTACAAGGGAATACCCATACGGCTGTCAGCTGATTTCTCAACAGAAACTTTGCAGGCCAGAAGGGAGTGGCAAGAAATATTCAAAGTGATGAATACCAAGAACCTACAACCAAGATTACTTTATCCAGCAAAGCTATCATTCAGAATTGAAGGTCAGATAAAGAGCTTCACAGATAAGGAAAAGCTAAAGGAGTTCATCACCACCAAAACAGGATTATATGAAATGCTGAAAGGTATCCTTTAAGAAGAGGAAGAGTAAGAAAAAGGTAAAGATACAAATTATGAACAACAAATATGCATCTATCAACAAGTGAATCTAAGAATCAAGTGAATAAATAATCTGATGAACAGAATGAACTGTTGATTATAATAGAATCAGGGACATAGAAAGGGAATGGACTGACTATTCCTGGGGGGGAAAGGGGTGTGGGAGATGCGGGAAGAGACTGGACAAAAATCGTGCACCTATGGATGAGGACAGTGGGTGGGGAGTGAGGGCGGAGGGTGGGGCGGGAACTGGGAGGAGGGGAGTTATGGGGGGAAAAAAAAGAGGAACAAATGTAATAATCTGAACAATAAAGATTTAATAAAAAAAAATAATAAAAGGCTTTCATAAACGTGAAAAAAAAAAAAAAAGAAAGCTACAGAGTGGACCATATTGAATCAACTTACAAGTATTAAGATTAATTGACTATGTTAAGATAAGTTTTGTATAATATAAATCAAATTTGAAAGAAAGGACATGTTTATTAAATTGACTACTGTAAATAGCAATGGTCTAAGTTATAAACAAACCTGCTCAAAATTATAATTGATCCCATATTAGAGCAAGTTTTCTACTATGTGAAATCTGTTTATTGTGGCAATGTTATTGATGGAGTTCAGGACATGCTACCCCAAAATACAGCACCGTGCTTTATTTTATATCTGAAGTGAAGGAGTTTGAGGACACAGCAGAAGCAGGAAGGTCACTCTGGCCTCCCCATTCACCCTTGTTTCCTCAAACACGTTATAAAACTGCCCTGTGTCAATTACCCTGCCCCCAGTGCCAGGAGGAAGGAGGACATTCTTATCACAGGAGTTGGGGCTGAGAAATCTGTATAAACAAATCTTGTAAAACTAACCCTTATCATCCTAGTTACTTCTTCACTATTCACTACCCTTAGCACAAACCCTTCCATGTGGTCAGTTCTTTACATACATATTGTTTCTTTGTCTAAAAGGTAGAAAAGTTTCTGCCTCTTGTCAGCGTTTTAGACAAAAATTAATAAAATGTATTTTTTTTTCCTGTTAATCTTTGTCAGTTTAAATTTCAGATACAGCCAGGGAACCTAAGAGGGCTGAGTGAAACGTTTTCCTCCCCTACGTTATTAGCAGATATTCTCTCTAGATCACCGTAGCCTTCTCAATCTCCTACAGCACTTACATAATTCACTTGTAAACTGTCCTTGACTATTTGAGCCCATATAGCCTATGTCAAGAAGGTCGCTGACATTGCGCTGGTGGCCCCCCTTCAGCACCTCAGCTTTCCTAGGTCCAGTGGATCCTTTAGAAGACGCTGTTCCTGATGAGCTGTGACCTCCTGGAGACGGAAAGTTGGGCTTGCTGTAGGGCACCAAGGTCTCCTCTGGAAAAAAAAAAAGAAGAAGCATAAAGTGCTAAGTTAAACAGCAGCATGTTGACAAACAAATTTAACTTTAAATATTTAGCTCAAGATGAACTGTTTTACCATTTTGAATTTTAGGAAAATTAAAAATATGAGATTTAATAAGGCTTGAAAACTAAAAGAAATTCCCATGTACAACAAACACTTCCTATAATAGGAACTAAAGCAGAATTAAATTAAAATATGTATTGGAATAAATATACAATATTATGTATCATTTGCAAAATTTAAAGGTATTATAAGAGACCTGCATACAATGAACCATATTATTTAACTAAAACATTTCTGAGAATAAGTTCTGTAGTTTAGTGGAGGCTCCAAATTTATTTTTTCTATTAAGATTGAAAGAACATGGTTTTGACTTTAAATTATGAAAACATTTTTTCTCAAATTATATAAAGAACTATATATCAGCTATTAAAAATAAGCTTCTTAAATTTCTATTGTTTCTTGAGAAAGAAATACATTATTTGAAAGCCTGTATTCTCCCTTAACAGAAAGAGACACTCATACATTTTAATAAATAACGTGTCTGTTCTTTTTATGCATCATCTTTCTACAAATAATGTACATAACTAGATATTTAAGCACTACTTTGAAGTGCTTTTTCTTCCTTTTTTCTCTCCCTTACTTCCCTCTTTCCTTCTCCGTTCCTTCTTTCTTTTTTTTTTTTAAATATGTTTTTATTGTCATTTGGAGAGAAAAAGGAAAGGGAGAGAGTGATAGAAACATCAATGATGAGAGAGAATCATTGATTGGCTGCCTCCTTCATGCTCCCTACTAGGGATTGAGCCCACAACTGGGGCATGTGCCCTGTGGGAATAGAACCCAAAACCTCTTGGTTCCTGCGTTGGTGTTCAACCACTGAACCACACTGGGCTGGGCTCTTGCTTCTTTCTTTCTTCCTTTCTTCTCTTTTCTTCTCTCTCCACTACTTTTTTTTTCTTTTTCTAGGTATTGATCATTATTACTATGGTTATATGACTAAAAAAATTGCTGACTGAATTTAGTATTTATTTCTTTAGATAATCTTAATGACAAGGATCACATGATTCTTCTCTCATAGTCTTAATGCTTAACCTTCTTAAATGTTTCACTAAACCTAGATGTTAATATTGTCATTTTTTAGCCACTGCATAAACTATATTTCTAAAACCTTGAGCACCATGTTGTGACAAAATATAATATTAAAAATGCATGTGAAGATGACATATCTAGAACAGATTCAGTCCAAATGAATAAATGAATGTACAAGGAAACGCTTTCAAATGTTGTGTGTGTGTGTGTATGTGTGTGTGTGTGTGTGTGTGTGTGTGTGTGTGTGTGTGTGTATTTTAATAACCAAGGAATCTTGACATAAGAAGAGGTAATCCAGAAAATGCATTTCTGGAACAGGCTCACCACCAACCTCCCTCACCCCCACCCCCACCAAAAAAATCCAACTATGAACCATTAAATTTATTTTGTGATATTTCCAGGAAACTTGATATATAAACAAGAACATGCCCCCATTAAATTGTTAACAATTAACTAAATTTAATCAGCTGGAGAAAGTATAGACCCAAGTTTAAAATTTTCTAACATGAGGATTCTGTGATTGGGCATTGATCCATAACTTTATTGATTATTTCACTTCAGCAATTTGACTGAAGTGAGTTCTTCTTTCAAAATGACTAGTTACTTCAGTCAAAATGAACAAATTGGTTGGAGGCAGAGTTTAAAATGACATTAAAGGTGAAATTTTGTGGTCTTAAAAGTACTCAATATAAACATTAAAAAGAAAAAAAAAACCCTCAAATTGTGTCATGAGCACTATAGATGGAGGTTGGAAGTCTCTAGTCTCAAGGACCCTAGCAGAGGTTAACTTGAGGAACAATCCCTATTGGGATCAGCCTTCAGGGATGTGCCGGTGAGCTCTGCTTCGGAATTCCAAATTCAATTAGTGATTCAAGGCAAATGCATTTCAGAAGCCTTAAACAACTGCCATTTCTAAAATACCTGGTAGGAAAAAAATGGTAAAAGTCCACACTTTGTTGGGACTGTGCAGAACACACCTGGTCCAACACCTTGTTTGTGTAGGGCTTTCCGTATGTCTTCTTGGCGTTCTGTGGAGTTAATCCATTCCTGGGTTTGTCGCTGCCACTCTAGGGACGTTCTAGCTGGACAATCCAATGAGCTCTTTGTATCTTCTAAGTTGGATGCTTGTTGTCTCTCCAGAGAGCTTCCTTTTCTCTCTGTTGAGTTTTCCACGTTACCAACATGCTGGCTCGGGCCTATTTGTTGCCTTATACCCTGACCTGGAGGGGGGTCTGGTGGTGGTGGAAGATCTAAAAATTTTGAATAATGTTTAGAATGGACTAAAATTTAATGAAAAAAAATACAGGTTTTAGTTCAAGATGAAGAAAAAGAAAACCCTGCCCTGTTAAAAGTATCACCCATGCAAAAAATATTTTTTTTGGGGGGGAAAGGCAAATTGTTTACATCCAAATGCATATTATTGATCTTATTGCTATCTTTTGATCACAGTGTCTTTGAAATAAAATCAACTGACTTTATTCAACTATTATATGTGGAAAATGTTTTCAATTGCACATTGAGTCTAAAATTTAAGGTGCAAAGGGCAGTTTATGATTTTTCCATATTTAATCCATTGTTCACCCCCACTTCCCAGAGTAGAAATACCATGACACAAAATGACTAGAAATTCTAGCAGCTGTGTTAATCAAAGGCTCTGGGAAGAATAAATGTTGTCCTGCCAATCTCCATAGGAAATTTTGCCCTTGGGAAATTAAGAACTCTATGCGGTATCATATGCAACATATGACTGCCTTTACTCATGTATGTGGTACATTTAGCAACAAAAGGTTTAAGCTAACACTTATGAAATGCAATTAACATTCTGCCTGACAACCAATGCTAGCTATTCATTTCATGAGTTAACTAATGAGTTACAACTAATATGTTATACACTTCCAATGTATTAATTTTAATAAGTAATAACCAGTGTTAAAGGCACAGATAGAATATGTTTCATGGTACTAGAGTAGACACTGTATCATGAAAATTTGAGATATAGTGGCATAGATAATTTTTCAGAAAAGTTCTTTAAATTACATATTAGATATGAAAAAATTAAAAGTTCAAAGACTTGGCTAATTTTTTATTGTCTTTTTTATTAGCTCTTTCGATTGTCATTACTTTTATATTTTTAATGTCTTCAATTGTGACATCATAAACCTTCTTTCATATTTCTTTAAGTACTGTACTAGTTCTGTTATACTTGTCACACTAGTGCTGAAATTACATCATTGAAGTAATTGAAATCTAAACATTTTTAATATTCTATGGATTATTTTCTTCTGGCATCCCATTAAAATTTTTTTCATCCTTAGAATGCCAATAATATTATTTGCCCATAAAGACCAAATATCATATATAATATAAATATTTATTTTATTATAGAGGATAATGTATATAATATAGGTAATTAATACCATACAATTTTGTAATTGTGCCCTTGTTTCTAATAGTATTATTTGTAAAATTAAAAGGGAAAGGTATAATTTTTTTGGACATAGGTAACTTCCTTAAGGAAATCTAAGCTGCTCCTTGAAAGATTTTCTTAAGAAACATTATACTTTCTTTATGAGGAAAGTGACATTGTCCTCTGTTGAACTGATAGCAATGGTCTCCTCAGCATCTGCTCAGGAAGTTCCCACGTTGGAGCAGAGCTTTTATTTCTCATGCATTTCCTCTTGTTAGATGATGAATACTAATTATTGAAGGGGACAGAGTTTCTGTCTGGGAGAATCAAGTTGCATTTGGAATCTTGCTTCCAAAAAGGAAGAGCTAATCTAATATTGAGATATCTGTTTCTTAAATAATCCACCAAAGAGTTTGGTGTTTCTTTTGATTTCAAAGCTGACTTCCTTCAGTATGTATTATTATAAATTCTAATTCATTATATCCTTTGAGTTATTGGATTTAAGACTGCCAGTGGGAGAGAAATTATTGTAATTTCTTCCAAAACAACATATTTTGTCATTGATTTTTATTCTCTATCAGAGCAGTTTAATTTTTTAAATGGCCAAAATGGAATCTGCTTATGTTAGCTAAAATTCTGATCACTATTTCATTTAACCTGAAATTATACAGCTACATCATTAAAACCCTTGGGGTTTGTATATCCTAAAAAGGAAGAGCATTTCATACACATTGAAATAAAAAAAAAAAAAAAAGTGGAAAAAAGATAGAAGTGAGAATGGCTGTGGAAAAAAATAGAAGTATGTAATCAAATATATGTACTTAAATTAATTTTATTATTCATGTCTATGTTGATTCATTTTAACAGAATCAATTTGCTAAAAAGTCTCTTACTGGCCTACTAAAGATTTGCTATTGTTTGACACATAGCAGTACAGCAGACCAATGATATATATGCCAGTATTTCTCTCTCTCTCTCTCCCTCTCTCTCTCTGAGAATAAAAAAGGAGACATGGAAAAATTACATATCTACTGCCTGGATCTCTCCTCCCATGAACTCACAACTCAGATAACCAAGTCCACACTGAATAGTTAGACTTATATGTTTAGAAGGCTTCTCAAATTTCATATACCCAACCTGAGCTCTAGATCTCCCTCTACAATTCATGCTCCCTCTGCAGTGTTCCTCATCTCAATTAGTAGCTATTCCATTCTATAAGTTTACCAAAACTTTGGTGTAATCTTTGACCTCCCTGCTTAACAGCCTATGTTAATTTATTCACAAATTCTGTGGACTCTATCTGCAGACTATATCCAGAATTCAACCTTTATCATTGCTTCCACTGATTCTACCACAGTGTGAATCACTATCATCTACTCACTATATAACTCCTATAACCTCCTATGTGGTTTCTGCATTTCCACATAGAAGCACATTCAGCCTACCTCAACAAAACAGCCAGAGTGACTATTTTATAAAGACAAAAGTAAGATCATGTCACTCCGCTTGCCTTAATATGCACATGCACATGCACACACACCCACTTGCATGCACCTCCAGGGTTTTCCCATTCAAAGTAAGAGCCAAGGTCTTTATAGAAGCTTAAGGGTCCTACAAATTCTGGTCCTAGTTGACTTGTCTGACTTTGTATTCTATTTTGTTGCTCTCTCTGCTTTTAATCAAATAAGCATCAGGCTTTCACTTACTGTTTTCATTTTCTGAAATGACTCCCCCCACCCCATATAAGCATTGCTCTTTCCCTTATAATCTTCCAATGTTTTCTCAAACGTCATCTTGGTAAGATCTTTTCTGAGCCCTCTACTTAAAAGTTGCCCCCCCTATCTTTGTATATTTTTTCTCGATGACACTTACTGTCATTTCACATACACTTTTAAATTTTTATTTTCACCTAGAGGGCATTTATGTTGAAATTATCTATCGTCTCCCATCAAAATATAAGTTCCAGGAGGGCAGGGCATTTTCTTTGTTTGGTTCCCATTGCCTATCATTTGGTATAAACTTAATAAATATTTGAATGAATAGTTTAATAGATAAAGAAATTTTCTCAATTGTCAAAGCTAGTCTGTGAAAGAGCCCCTTATCTGAATGGGGTATTTGGAATGAGTGGTGAACAGGCTGGAAGGAGATGATCTAGGAAGAAAGGTTGATGAAGAGAGAGCTACCTTCTCTACCTTTTTGTTCAGCAGTGGTCCAGGTATTGGCTTTAAAGGGTATTCTCGGGTTTATGCAAATGAAATAGAACATTTGAATTGAACAATGCCAGCTTAGGATAGACTTTATTCAAGGGAGAAGAACACTCAATATGTGTGTGGGTGTTTGCATAGCCTTTGGAATGGAGACTGACATTTCCCACCATTCCCAATTACTCTTACTGAACACAAAGAAATATTACTTCACCACTCTAGAAGTTAGTTTGATGCTATGTGACAAAGTCCTTGCCCAAGAAATAAGAGAAGTTATATGTGCCACTTGCTAGCCTGATCATGGAACCTCCCAAGTGAATAACCCATGTTCTGTCTTGTTCTCACTCAGAAACCATAAAGGTCCCATCTTAAAAATAATGGTGTTCCAACATTGAAGAAGCATTCATCCTTACATTACTACTTAGAGGAGAGCCATGCGACCTTTATAAAATCATCGTGTCTGGGAAAAACAAACTTTTACTTTGCCAAGCCACTGAAGAATATAGTTGTTTGGCATAGCAGGTAGCAATAATTAATCTGATGAATATTCTCATAAAACACTATTGTAAATAATGCAAACATTTTAGTGTAAAATATCTATATGCTAAGTGCTACTCAATCAGTGATGGCGAACCTATGACAGGTGTGTCAGAGGTGACACGCAAACTCATTTTTTTGGTTGATTTTTCTTTGTTAAATGGCATTTAAATATATAAAATAAATATCAAAAATATAAGTCTTTGTTTTACTATGGTTGCAAATATCAAAAAATTTCTATATGTGACAGGGCACCAGAATTAAGTTAGGGTTTTTCAAAATGCTAGCACGCCGAGCTCAAAAGGTTCGCCAACACTGTACTAAATACTAACCTTTCCAAAAAGGACAGTTGGGTTTTATATACAAACTAGAGGCCTGGTGCACAAAAATTTGTGCACTCGGGGGGGTCCCTCAGCCTGGCCTGTGCCCTCTCACAGTCTGATACCCCTCAGGGGATGTCCACCTGCTGGTTTAGGCATGCTCCCCGGGGGATCAGGCCTAAGCTGGCAGTCAGACATCCCTCTGGCAGCCCAGGAGCCCTCAGGGGATGTCCACTTGCCAGCGGAGAGCAGGCCTAAGCTGCAGTCGGACATCCTTAGTGCTGCTGAGGAGGCAGGAGAGGCTCCCACCACCACCGCTGTACTGGCAGCCATCAGCCTGGCTTGTGGCTGAGCAGAGCTCCCCCTGTGGGAGCACACTGACCACCAGGGGCAGCTCCTGCATTGAGCATCTGCCCCCTGGTGGTCAGTGTGTGTCATAGTGATCAGTCATTTCCAGTTGCTCTGCTGTTAGGGTCAATTTGCCTACTACCTTTTTATTATATAGGATAGAGGCCTGCTGCACGGGTGGGGGCTGGCTGGTTTGCTCTGAAGGGTGTCCTGGATCAGGGTGGGGGTCCTGCTGGGGTGCCTGGCCAGCCTGGGTGAGGGGCTGATGGCCGTTTTTAGGCTGGTCAAGCCCCCCAGTGGGGACCCTCACCCTATGGGGGTTTGGCCAGCCTAGGTGAGGGGCTGATGGCTGTTTTCAGGCTGGCCATAGCACCTTCAGGGTGGGGGTCCCCACTGGGGTGCCTGGCCAGCCTGGGTGAGGGGCTGATGGCCATTTTCAGGCTGGCCACAGCCCCTTCAGGGTGGGGGACCCTCCTGGGGTGCCTGGCCAGCCTGAGTGAGGGGCTGATGGCCATTTTCAGGCTGGCCACAGCCGCGGGCTGGAAGCAGGTATCTGGAATTTATTGATCTCCTTGTAGAGGGCCGCCTGGGAGGCACCTAGGCATTTTCTTATAATTATTGTCAGCTGAACTCAGAGCATAGGCAGAGCCACGCCCTGGGAACATGCTTCCCCAATAAGGCTGGACATGTTAATCAGGCAGGGGCGGAACTAGATATGTAAATCTAGGCCTTTAAAATAAACCTGCTGTGTGGCTCAGCCCGCTTTTTGCCGCCTCTCCATCAGAGAGGATGGCGCCCACCTGGCCCCAGCTTAAAATCTATTTCTGCATCTTGGTCTTTCTTTATTTTCTTAATCCCCAGCTCCTCCACTCAGCAAATGGACTGTTTCCTTTTCCATGCGGGACATGGAAAAGAGAGAAACAGCCCCCCACATCTTCTATAATTGAAACTTTGTAGCCTTGAGCGAAGCTCAGGGCTGGCAGGGCAGGAGGGAAGCTTGGCTTCCTCCATTGCTGGGGGCAACGCTCCACCTCCATGGCTGCCGCCATCTTAATTAGGTTAATTTGCACATTTGGCTTGTGGGCGTGGCTTGTGGGTGTAGCGGAGGTATGGTCAATTTGCATTTTGTCTTTTATTAGCTTAGATATTATGAAATTATTACTGCTACATGGATTCGTAGCATATAAATGCTATTATATATGCATTAGTTGTAAAATACCAATATTCTTCAGGATAATCTGTGGAGTGCCATACAAAATAAACGTCCTTGTATTGAAACTAAAATGTCATTGGGTCAAACACTTGGGAATACATGTGAGCCAATATTTCCTTTTCAATATCACGACTTCTAAAAAGTATTCACTAAGAACACATAATCAATAACCCCTTTTTGGAATGCTGACAAATTTGAAAATTTAGGGAGCTACGTGTTTCTTAAAAAGCTAAGCCATATATTGAGCATGCTTTTAACTAGGAGATAGTTTTCTTTAACCAGACATTCTAAAAAAGCTTATAAGAAAAATATTCTAGGAAGAAAGAAGAGAGATCTCTATTTTCTTGATTTATATTGTATCTTCCACTTATTCTGGATGTGGTCTTCAAACAATTTGAAAAAGTCACAGAAAAAAAACATATACTTGGGTTTTTTTCTATTTCCATAACATTCATAGCAGAAAAATGAAACAAATTCTGAGATTTATAACTAGCATGTCAGTGAGAGTAATCCTTCTTATTCAGAGGGAATAAGATCAACACTATAGGCTTCTTTGAGCACTCAACTAATCTTCAGAACACTGAGGTAGAAAGGCAGTCAGTGAACATTTTTCCTCACCACAGGATATCCATTCATAGAGAATCAAAATCTCAACTTTACCCCTACCCTCAGATTCCATAGAAATATTTTCCAATGAAATCAAAGTAAGTGGGATAGATAAGTAAACCTGAAAGCTCTTAAAACAAGTTATGTTTAGCTTTAAAATCTTAACATTATAAGATGACAATAGAAAGCACAAAAATTGCTGTCAGACACCCCTACCCCCACCAAAACTGATAAAGAACAAGTACAGTGGGGCCTTGACTTACGAGTTTAATTCGTTCCGAGACCGAGCTCATTAAGGAGCTCGTTAAGGAGCTCGTTAACTCAAATTATTCTGTCAACTCAATGCAAAAAATGGGTGGAGAGACAGCTGGTATCTCAAAAAACTCCTTAGTCGCGACACTCGTAAGTCAAGGCCCCACTGTACTTCTTTTCCAACTAAGCCTTATTCAGTCCTATAATTAATGCTAAGGACTTGGTCATAGCTTCTCAAAGCCTACTGCATATTGGATTCACCCGTGGAGCTTTAAAAATACTCATAGCTGCTTTTCATCCCAGAACAATTAATCAAAATCTATGGGATATATTTTAAGAGCTCCCCAGATGGTCTGATGTGCAGCCTAGCTAGAGTTATCCTTTTTTGTGTTTAGTAAAACTATCTCATGACAAAGTTTATGTGCTTTTAGGGAGTAGTGTTGAGAAGAAGGAAGAAATTTACCTTTGGGTTCAACATTATACTAAGTATAATAAATCATACATATTCCTGAGAATAAAACTTTAAATGAATATTTTTATTCCTATTTTAGCCCTAACCGGTTTGGCTCAGTGGATAGAGTGTCGGCCTGTGGACTGAAGGGTCCCAGGTTCAATTCCAGTCAAGGGCATGTACCTTGGTTGCAGGCACATCCCCGGTAGGGGGTGTGCAGGAGGCAGCTGATTGATGTTTCTCTCTCATCGATGTTTCTAACTCTCTATCCCTCTCCCTTCCTCTCTGTAAAAAATCAATAAAAAATAAAAAATAAAAAAATAAAAAATAAAATGAATATTTTTATTCCTATTTTAAATATATGAGAATTAAGTTGAATATATGGGAAATACTTCCTGCTTTGCAGACCTCATGCATTACTCATTAAACAACAAGGACATTTTTCCATTGTGTTTCTTGACACTAGCAGTGCTTAAATAAATACTCAAAAATAGATGCAAACTATGGGCCATTGTACAAATTCAGCCACTTCCTCTTTTGTCAGTAAAGTTTATTGAAAATCAGTCACATCCATTCAGTAACTTTTTTCTTTGGCTGCAACAGGGCATCGATGTCAGGGTGAGCAGTTGTAACAGAAGACTATATGGCCTGGTAAAGCCAAAAATATATATATTAGCTGGACTTTTCAGAAAAAGTTTGCTGACCCATCAACTGGATAATCTGCAGCATGCTTTAAGTCCTAAAATTCACAAAACTAAAAAAACTCCTAAATTGCAAATAACAGTCCTTTTCAGAAGTAAAATCATCTAAAATAGCTTACCTTAATATAGAAATGTTCCAACAACCTGGCAAATGCACATGCTACTGATGTTTTCCCCTAAACTTATAAGGGAATTTCCCCTAAGCTTATAAGGGAATATAAAGCATTAATGGGTAATGCCAGAATGGTAGAAAAATCAACATTGAAAAGCAGTATGGCATCTACTTCTTTGGGCTTGGTAATATAGAAATAATTCCAGATTGTTAAAAAAAAAAAAAAAAAAAAGAGGGTGTTTTATTTAAACAAGACCACATTTCCAGGTTTTCGGCCTTGGTATATAATGAGGGGCGCCTAATCTACCACAGCTACTTTAACCTCAATCAGTGATGGCACACGGCATAGCTCTTCAGTGAGGAGACAGGAGAGAAGGAATCAAACCTACCATCTGTCATTCCTTCCCTTCGATGAGGCAATGATGGCTGTTGGTCCATTCGCCCTCCCTTGTGTTTTTTAGTCGGCCGAGGCCTCTGACTTTGACTCAGGGCTGCACTGGTGTTACTGTCAGTAGAAAATGGGCTAGTTGGTCGAGGCCTTTGAGAGGAGGTAAAAGCTTTGCCTAAAAACAAAAAAACAAACAAAAAACAAAGGGAAGGAGATATGGAGAATGTTATTTTAAGACACTGATTCTGTCTGCCTTGTATTTTTTGCTCTTTCTAACTTGTAAACCTGCCTGGAGATACTATTTGGAGATTTCAGATACTGGTGCATCTCCATAGGAAAATGTGTGCCTTGCTGCATTTGTCTTGACCAATTTTTAATAACCAACATTCTACACCTGAAAAATTAAAACAAATAAATATAAAACAAATCCACATGATCTTATGTGATTGTATTTTTATTTAACCTTGATAATCTTAGCAATATTTTCATAGGTATTTGCAAATTCATGCAGCTTTTATTTCTTAAAATTAAAGAAGCTGAAATAAATTTGTGCTGTCTTATTTGCTTAATCAAATTTCACCCTTGAGTCCCACAAAATCTCTTTGAGTACAGAAAAATGTCCTATTGTAATCACAACTAAAATTTCACATGAAAGATCTGCTCAGACACATATATTAAATTGACCTTACTTCCCATACACATACATGATGAATTGTACTTCTTTGAGCAGAAACTCAATAACATTAGTGTATAGTACAGGATAGAGAGCAGGTTAAAACTACCTTGTATATCCACAGTACAATGGGTGTTTTTAATGGATAATATTGTACCTGAGCAGACTCCAAATTCTCATTGATAAATGAAATGTGCTATGCCCTTTTCTTGTGGCTTAGTGTACATGTGTAGGGAAATTTACTCTGGGAAAAGGTTAGCTATCCATTTTTAACATCTTTTAATTTTAATATTATGGTAAGATAAGGTTGGCTTATGTGCATATATATATTCTCTTGTGCATATTTCATTTTATACAAAATTGTTGCATAAAATTTAGTTAATGTAGTTATATTTTTTAAGTCAGTGTGAGGTAATACTGCTTAATGTTTTATTAGCTATTAGCTTACATGCAAGAAATGCACTTAGCCTTCTAATTATTAGTTTCCTTGTACTTCCTCACTGCTTTGCTTATAGCTCTGCCACAAAAATCACTCAGGCAACATAAAGTTTCTGATTTAATGCCCTATAAAGCAAGAAAATTCAAATAACCATTACATTACAACATATTTTAGTACAGATGCTATATAAAAAATAAACCTCTGCAATGCTTGGATAATCTTTTTATTTCATTCAAAGATACCTAATGCATACTCAAAAGGAAATAGTCTTGATATATTTCAAAGACAATTTCCAAGACTCATTTTTATAACCTGAGAATTTAGTGCAAGGTCAAAATCATTTTTACTTTATTATTTGGGTACTATTAAGATTTGAAAAATGGATTTAGAATTTTATTAGTTTTTGTAAGGTAGCTAAGTTTAATTTATATATTAGGACCTTATTATATATTCATTTAAGAAGTATAGATAGTCATGTAATAACATGCATCATGCCAAAGTTTTTTTGTTTCAGTAAAACAAATGACAATTTACTGACCTATTATTAGAGAGAATCCCACAGTTATCTGGGGGGATGATCAGCTATATGAAAAGTTATATAATTGGTCTTTTATATTATTACTTATTATTTTCAGAAACCAAAAGTAGATTATATTAAAAACCAACACACATATAGTCATAATTTTTTTCAACTTGCAAATGCAGTGGATGTATCTTTTATTAGCATCCTTAAACACAACAACAATGCTATTGGATTAACATTTTAACAGCCAAATAAGTAATAATACCACCAGCCGTTTGAATTGTTAGACTGACAGCCTTAGACCAATTCACCCCATGCTGAGAAAGCCTTCCCAGAAAAGGCATTTGCAGAAAGAAATGGGGAAAAGGAAAGTAATGAGGATAAAAGCTGAATAATTTTAATCACTGGGTACATTATTGATTCTGTGAGAATTTTGCAAAGTGTGAGTTATTGAAAATTTAATGGCAATCTTAGTTGCAGCTTTGCTGTAATATAAAAAGGAAGCATATCCCAATTAATCAGCAGAACCGTGAAAGGAAAGGGAAATAAAGGTTGGAAAGTGATGAGTAGGAGCCTATTCTTGGCTCTGCAAAACTAGCATCAGAAGAGAGTTCTGGTAATTAAGCATCCAAACTGTGGTCATGCATGCTAAAGAAATCCCTTCAACCAGACTCACTGAGGAGAAAGGACGGAAGAAGAGCTCAGTGTCCAAAGGACAAGATTCTGTCATGCAGAGTGTTGACCCAGAGTCTGAGTCTACCAACCTGTTCTTGTAAGGCTGGTTCCATCCAGCCTAAAGCCAGCTTTATCTGCTGCTGCCACCAGAGCTTGTGCAAAACTGCCGCTGGCAAAGATGGAGCCATCTGAGGAGCTACCTACGCTAGATCTATGACTAGAAAAGTTACGATCCTCATCAGATGCAGAGCCCCATCCATTTACCATTGAACCTAAAAACAAATGTTGTCTAGTGAGTTGTAGATACTGGAGAGCTCATCTGCACACACACTATAATGAACAAGCTGGCTTCCTCAACTCCTGTCTTCCTTGACATAAATCTGGTATCATCTGACTTCTTTAGGCACATGCAAGCATCATCCATTTTCTAAGTATTCCCACTGCAGAAGAATGAGGCTCATTTAAAACCTGTATCTGCTTGCAACACATGAAAAAACATGTTCCACATGGTTCCATTCTTACATTGTTAAAATTATTACACATGATCATTTTCCAGGAAAGAATTGCCATGCATACTTTAAGTCTACAATTCAGGGAAGACCACTTTTGATGAACTAAATTATAGTGTATTTAAAGTAAACATATCAAGGACTCAGTTGAAGAAATAGTGTGAATATATTTTTAATTCAATGCAACCTCTAATGATAATTTGCCTGAAATCTACACTTGTACACTGTAGAAGGGTTAGAATTATTTCAAGATTTTAAGGTAAAAACTTAATTATGCATAAAAAATAGTGAACATTCATAAACAAAGACATTTATAAATAATACCAGAGCAAATAGACTTAGAAAATAAGAAATATGTATCTTTGGAAAGTCCTATTAATTTCAAAACTCAGTATGCTTTTCTGCTTTTTAATTAAGAACTTTAGTTTTCTCTTTAGTACTAATTTTTATTTTAGAAAGTTAACTATTATGAAGAATATCACTGGCATTCTGCAAAATGCAACATGGCAATAGAGGAAAAAATTCAGCTTTATGTGTAAAGAGCTGCAAAGATATGAAGATAATGAGAAATAACCTTTATTCTTAGTTTTTACCAAGTCATTTACAATTTTATGTATTTTTCTTAGACTAAACACATCAAAACATGAATCTATTACATAATACAATTAATGTTATAATTTTTATTTCAGTTGGTATACCATTAATTTATAACACAATAAAGTACCAAATGCTGCTTATTCAAAATTTTTTAAAAAGGAAGAACTAAATATTTATGGAACACTTACTTAAGGTTTCTAAATAAACCAAACACATATTTATATATAAGACATTAAAGTCAAGTGCCATATATTTTTCTGCTTTTCTCCAATATTCAAGAGACAAAAGTATAGTTAAGAGTGTTGCCATGATGAAGCATTTGTACTTTTTTTAGTAAAGGTGCCAGGATACAATCACACGGGTTCATGCACTTTCGAGACAGAGAAAACAGAAACCGAAGAGGTTAGACGGATTTGAGAAGTTAAAAGGGTGTTAAGTGTAGCAGAAAAAGATAGAGTTTTGATTCTATTTGCCAAAAGCACAGAGATACACTTTTTACTTTCAAAACAAATTCCCTTGACACAGGCCACTGAAAGGAAGCCGAGATAACAGCAGCAACTGAGCCTCCTCCAAGAGAACCATTTCTGAGTTAATAATCACAAGTCAAGGACCAACAGTCCAAAATGAAAGGAGAAATGATGCAATAGGCTTTGCAATATAATGTTACAGTAGATAAGAAACATATCAAAGTGAGTCAGTCAGTGATCACAAAAGAATTTGAAACCCTAGAACCGAGGATAGTTTTGAAACCCGAGAAAGCTCAGGCCAGTCCCTTCTATGTTCTGTTTTCCATGTTTCTAAATGTCTACTCCACATCTGTGAACACATCTGTGTCAGCTATCTGAAACTCACTCTCCAAACAAGCATCTCCTTTTGTACATCTTCAATTTCATTCCCAACTGACTTTCTTCTAGTCTCTCTATGTTCCTCATTGTCCCTGAATTAATTTTCTGAAACATTTATCACACTCAAAGGCTTACCTAGTTTGCCAATGCCACATCCAAACACCAAACTAGGTATTTGAGATTCTTCAGTATCGAGCCCAGCCTACCTCTCCAGCCCCATTTCCTCTTACAGCCTGTGTAGTCCTATTGCCTCACCCATATAAGATTACTCACACTTCTCTGGATTGTGACTGACTCTATTAACCACTGTGAAACTTTAAAGTCCAAATCAGTATCATCTCTTTTCTCATCCTGATTCCACCTCTCCTACAACCCTGTATAAAGGAGAATCAATCTCTCTGCCTCCTGTGTTTTTCAAACAGTATTCACACAGTAACACACCAGTCTCTACAAACTACAGTTTGTTGCATATATGTTTCCTCTTCTAGACAATGTCTCATTCATTTTTATATATCTTATACAGGAACATTGCACAGTAGACATTTCAATAAACATCAAGAATATTAAATTAAATATCTTCAAGATTTTCATTATTCACCATAAATTCTATTTCTGATTCTATTCCATGTGTAATTTCCTAGCAATTACCTTATTTTAGTTACAGAAAGAATGTGCTTATAAGAACTACTAGAAAACATTAAATAAGAAATACAATGTAGTCAACTCTTGTCAATTACTTGGACAATGGAAAAAGCAGTGTTGTAATTACCTAAAAGACGAAAAAACATCCTATATCAGTGATGGTGAAGCTATGACACACGTGTCAGAGGTGACACGCGAACTCATTGTTTTGGTTGATTTTTCTTTGTTAAATGGCATTTAAATATATAAAATAAATATAAAAAATATTAAAA